GTGAAACTTTGGCTTGGGTTTTCCGGAGGTGACGGAGATGACTGCAGGAGACAGCTTTCCGCCGCTTTTCGCCCTCGCCTTTCCACCGTCAGGCTGCTGTTAATGTTTTTAAAATGTCCTTAGAGTGGCACTTGTAAAACAATTTGATTTTGTGTACCATCGAACATACATAAAGGTCGGGGTGTCTATGTAGGAAATATGAGAGCGAACAATGCAGAGATTGTGACACGGGTCAGTCTCAATATGTGGCGGTTATGCAATCATTATCATAAAAGAGGTATTGATTATGCCTACAGCTAAAAAAAAGGACAGGTAAAAGTTGGAGAAATAATGGGGAGGAGGAAATTTAATGTGGTTCTTCCACTTACTGCATTTACCAGCTATGAAATTAAACGTTGCCTACTTTTAGGCGGCTTAAAATGTGGTTTGAGATCACCGAAGTTTTTCAAACAATCAACAAGAAAAGGTGGTTAAATTATTATAATTTTCAGGCGCTTTTCTTGTGCCCTACGGCATTATGTTGGTGGTCGGTGGTATTCCTCTATTCTACATGGAGTTGGCCCTGGGTCAGCACAATCGTAAGGGTGCCATCACGTGCTGGGGTCGCCTAGTGCCGCTCTTCAAGGGTGAGTAGTTAGCTCAGTACCAAGAAACCCATAAATAAGCACTATTCTCTTCCAGGAATTGGCTATGCCGTGGTGCTGATAGCCTTCTATGTGGACTTCTACTATAATGTGATTATTGCCTGGTCGTTGCGTTTCTTTTTTGCCTCCTTTACCAACTCATTACCTTGGACGTCATGCAAAAATGTTTGGAATACTCCAAATTGTAGACCGGTAAGTAATGTTTTTTTGAGAAACCGAATAACCTGTTCCTAACTTCAATATTGCTTTTAGTTTGAGAGCCAGAATGCTTCTCGTATTTCACTCATAGGCAATTACAGTGACTTTTATGTGATGGGGAATCAAAGCATGCTCCTGAATGAGTCTTATGTGAATGGTTCAATAACCAGTTTGGACACGCCTTCGGTTGGTCATGTGGAGGGCTTTCAATCCGCTGCCTCAGAGTATTTCAAGTGAGTATGATTTATTTCTTCGTTTTAAGAAAATATTATAGACTTTTCACCTCCTTCAGCCGCTACATTTTGGAGCTGAATCAGAGCGAGGGAATCCACGATTTGGGCGCCATCAAATGGGATATGGCGCTGTGCCTTCTGATTGTCTACTTAATCTGCTATTTCTCACTGTGGAAGGGCATCAGCACTTCGGGCAAAGTCGTGTGGTTCACGGCCCTCTTCCCCTATGCGGTGCTGCTCATTCTACTGATCAGGGGTCTCACACTGCCCGGCTCGTTTCTGGGCATTCAGTATTATCTAACGCCCAACTTCAGTGCCATCTATAAGGCCGAGGTCTGGGTGGATGCTGCCACCCAGGTGTTCTTCTCCTTGGGTCCAGGATTTGGAGTGCTGCTGGCCTACGCATCCTACAATAAATACCACAATAATGTGTACAAGTATGTTTTTAAGAGTCGATTTCTCAATGTCAGGTTAACTTTTGTGATTAGGTTATATTTCGAAAAAATTATAGGTTATGTTCTGGTTTAACTTTTTGGCTACTTAACATCATAATGAGAAGACGTATAATTTAACTTCTAGTTAATTTTTTTAACAGAACCTTAACCTGACATTGAGAAATCAACTCTAAGTAAGGTTAACATTTGGAAAATTTTTTACAATAATCCAATTCCTCCCCAGAGATGCTCTGCTGACCAGCTTTATCAATTCGGCTACCAGCTTTATAGCCGGCTTTGTGATATTCTCCGTGCTGGGCTATATGGCCCACACTTTGGGTGTTCGAATCGAGGATGTGGCTACCGAGGGACCTGGTCTGGTTTTTGTGGTCTATCCAGCTGCCATCGCCACCATGCCGGCCAGCACTTTCTGGGCCCTAATATTCTTTATGATGCTGCTCACCTTGGGTTTGGATAGTTCGGTAAGGGTTATTCTATATAGTTTGAGTAGTTTCGTTTTTAAACTCGCAATCCTTACAGTTTGGTGGCTCTGAGGCTATCATAACCGCCTTGAGCGACGAGTTCCCCAAGATAAAAAGGAACCGGGAGCTCTTTGTCGCCGGCCTGTTTTCCCTGTACTTTGTGGTCGGACTGGCCAGCTGCACCCAAGGCGGCTTCTACTTCTTCCATTTGCTCGATCGCTATGCTGCCGGCTACTCGATTCTGGTGGCCGTGTTCTTCGAGGCGATTGCCGTTTCCTGGATCTACGGAACCAATCGATTCAGCGAGGACATAAGGGATATGATTGGCTTTCCACCGGGGCGATACTGGCAGGTGTGCTGGCGGTTTGTGGCTCCGATTTTCCTGCTCTTCATCACGGTCTACGGCCTGATTGGCTACGAACCACTGACCTATGCGGACTACGTCTATCCCAGTTGGGCCAATGCGCTGGGATGGTGTATAGCCGGTTCCTCGGTGGTGATGATTCCGGCGGTTGCGATATTTAAACTGATTTCCACGCCGGGAAGCCTGCGGCAGAGGTTGACCATTTTGACCACACCCTGGCGGGATCAGCAATCGATGGCAATGGTGCTGAACGGGGTCACCACCGAGGTGACCGTGGTGCGATTAACCGACACGGAGACCGCCAAGGAACCCGTCGATGTCTGAGTTCGACCAGTGGCCCGTTTTCAAATTTACTACGTTTAGATTTGGAAATTTACCAACAACTCACGTTCACATACCAGTGGCGATTGCATGAAAGTTTTTGTGTTTTTCGTTTGACATTAGGCGCAGGTCCCGCAGGACCGGCAAATTTCGCAAACAACGTACTTAGGTTTCGGCACCGAAAAAGGAGAAACAACCAAAAACAACCGAAAACATGCAAGAGCAGCTTCAAACCGTAAGAACTAAGTTAGGATTAGTTTGTAGTTTGTATGGTTAATGCCAGCTATAGCATACACATAGATACAATGCTGTGTAGATAATACCAAGTCCGAAAAAAAGAACGAAGCACTCGTCAGTTAATCCTCGTGAAAATCCTTGAAAGAATGTTTGCATATGCCAATGGAATTAACGACACGATCGCGGCTCAAATTGGGCACAGAATCTGTACATACACAAAAATCGATGATGTAAAAGCTTTAAACACATTATAGGATATTATCTCATGGAACTGAAGCAAAAGCTGCCGCAGTTGAACTACAAAATCCCCTCAAACAGCCATGAGGGGATTTTGTCATATGCAAAGGTTTGTTCTAAACTATACAAGTTTACCCCGTCCAAGAAACTACGATTGTTTGCTTAAAGCAGCCATTTTAAGCAATCAATTGGGAGTTAAGTCAACGATCCCAATTCTAAAATCGTTTCTGTATATAGACTTTTGATATTTTAAAATTGATTTAAGGTTTCTTTCACTCTGAAGCAGAACTAACAGCCATGAGTTCTGTTTCAATTTGTTGAAATAAATTATTATAATTTCAGTTACTGAAAAACAAAAAAGGCTTTTTACTTGTGGGCAGATTTAAATATATGGTAATAATTTAGAATTAAAAATACACCTTTAGATTCTTGATTAGATATTCGGGGTTTTTATTCCAATTTGAATGCTTGTTTTTCTTGTACAATAATTTCAATTAGTAACGTATAAAAGTAAAGTGAGGACCGTAACCAAACCAACACAAATGGTTTTCAATCGATGAATTGTTTCAAGTAGCGCAGTTCCAGATAAATATTGAACTCTCTTACAGAATCGCAGCTTTTGAGTAGTATTCTTAGTTTTGGGGTACATATGGCATATATATTTGTATGTCGCGCACTTCATACAGCACTATGTAAGCTTTGCATTAAAAATATATATATGTTATGTATGGTTAGTTCGGATGGGGGAGGTCCAACTCCCTGGTAATTGATACTCGTTCGTATAACATGTTGCGGTGTATGCAGATTACGTATGTTGGTCGGGTTTTTGGGTTAGGGTTGCGATTAAGGTGCATCTAGTTAGCTTTGTTTCGTTTGTGAACTGTATGCAAATACTTTGTCTGCGGTTATGGTATACTTTCTGGTGCTATAGAGCGGATTCTAACCCAATAGAGCTAAGCATATGTACAGTAAATACTTTTGATTCTGATTCTTCTGCTTTGGTATGAGGATTATACATATTTTTATATTTCTATAGATATTCTGATCGTGCGGTTCACACTTTTTGGGGATCGGGGAGCTTTGCGAATGCGCCAACTTGATTTTGAGTGTTTGTGTGTGTGTTTACATATATGATCCTTTGTGCTCGTCGATGATTCGCTAACTAATTGGTAAATATGTAGATGTACGTAATACGTATGTTGTGCAATAATGCCTAAAATCAATACACACGATGCAATATGCATAAGCAACAAATACGATCTTGCCACTGAAAGACACTTTCTGAATTGACAAATGACCTAAGTGAGTGTCTGATGGAATCACTTAACTGGCTCTGATTAGATGTATAACAGTTATAAAATCTAGTTCATATTACGTCTGTGCATTGAGATTTGTTCGGTGGTTGTTATATATATTTTATATTTTATAAGGTATATATCTATGTTATGACATCAGCTATTATTTCAGTAAAAAACAACAGTTAATCCGACCTTAAAGCATTCGTTTTTTTGTTTCGAAAATTAAATTTTCATTAGAGCGCACACAAAACATACTTAATATTTCGATTAATTTTTCGTTAAACCTTCGGAGAAATATTTCTAGAGGATACAGCACGGAATAAAGCCTTTGAGGCCCCCCAATTAGAACCCTTTCGGTTCGTAGCAAAAGCGACACTTTTCTGACATTCAGATTCGGCAGACCTATGTGGTTTTATCGTTCCGTTAGTAAGGTAAGTAATTCAACTATAAAGGCTACAGTGGGAAACAATCGATTATAAACAATATAAATTTGTTGTTTTTTTCAAATTTTTAAGTACCAAGTCTACGTAATAGGAAAAATGCCTAAAGTAATTGCCTTATGTATGCTTAAAATTTACTGTAATGCACCAAGAGATTTCACTTTCAGTTTTATCAGCGCTATAAATATATCAATATCCAATTACAATCATTCAGATCAACATACATACACCGAAACGGGTACTTGTTTATAATAAGTACAAGCAGACAATCATGTATGAGATACCTAGTCCAACATTCATATTCGAGTTATTTGCTATGCACTTTACGAATATTCCATATATCATTTAAATGTGAGTCCGTGAATCCTTGTCTTCTATTTTGATTTAGGTCTGTTGGATTGAGCTCAAAAATGCTGGATCCACTGAGGCCACTTTGGCCGTGAGAAACGCGTGCATGCAGAAAAGCAGACTTTGTAGTACTTGACATTCCAGTTCCTAGATGAAAATCAAAAGAAAAAGAGTTAGAATTAAGTAAAATATAAATATTATATTTAGTTTTAAATTACCTTGGTTTCGATTGCTCGACTTTCGTGATCCTGAAAATGCAGCTTTAGCTTGGATTTACCATCATCACTAGAGCCTCTTAATTGGGAGAATTTATACTGCCAAACTGTAGCGGAATCGGCTCCTTCAGTTAGGGAAAATCCAGCTTGCCAGTCCAACGTAAGTCCACCACTTTTTCCATGATGCGAAACAGCAAAGGTCTTACGCTAAAAGTATAAATTAATATAAGATAAAATTATAACTGTTTTAGATATTATAAACACGTAAAACTTACTCCCAACTTAATGACACTGGTCACAATGGCCGCATTCCAGCTGTTTTCGATCCTTAAAAGCTCTTGACGGGTTTCCACGCTCAAATAACGGGGCTCATGACCTGAACTTTGCAGCAGGAAACAATGCTGACGACTATCCACAGTCTCGGATTCCTTGACGATTCGGAACATGGTCTGATAGACCTTGTAGACCACCAAAGCCTTACTGATGCCAGCCACATTTAACTATTTTTAGGGTAAATTATAAGGTTGTTAATAGATCACAATCATAAATAACTCCGACTTACTGGTGGCGTCTCAAAGAGCATCACTTCGGTGCCCTTGAGCAGTAGAAATCTGGGCTTGTAGCTCTGCCAGGATATATTGTTGTTGATAACTCCCTCGTTTACCCAACCCATGTACTCAATGCGCTCGCCCACAGCAAAGTTTCTATTATATAGCTTCATCTGTTTGAAAGAATTTATTATAATGTGAAAAAATGTATTTGTTTAATTCCCATCTTACTTGTAAATGCGTTAGGCCCACAACATTATCTGTGATTAATTTCAGCCACTGACTAAGTATGGCCAGCTCATCGCAGTGTATAACACCTGTGGTAATGCCATTAAGACCTCGAACTTCGAAGGCGTTTTGGCGCAGTTTGTCGGTGCCATAAATATATCTCGTCACATAGGCCATCATCAGAGGTACTTGAAAATATAAAAATTAGTTTAAATACATGAATTTTAAATTAATAAAGAATTTTCCTAGGTATTCATTTAATTTTCCTGGTAGAAAAATATGAGTCTTGCTATTAAACTCCAAATAATTACTTAAAATTAATTTAAGGATATTCTAATTCAGTTATGTAAAATTGATAAAAAATTACACTGTACGACCTATTTTTATGATATGTTAGTCTTTCACTAATAACTCTGGAAAAACTTATTAAGATATTTGTAACTTTTCTGTTATTTTATAAATATTTATATTTGGGTTCTATATCATAAATTTAGATAACTCACCTGCCACCACATCGGTCCATCGTTTTTCGGGCTCCGAGCAAATTGACATGGGGCGACTGCAACTGCGACTGATGGTTCCACTATTGACGGAGGACTTGTAGCCCTCGTCGGCCTTCAGTTCGGCGCAAGTGGCATCGTTGTCCGAATCGGGCGTGTCTTTGGTTACTAAGAAGTGGGAAAGGGTTTTTCAGTTATTAGTTACTCTGATATAAAGCCCCAGTACAATACTCACATTGCTTCTGAAGGAAAGGCGTTGCTGCGCGATAGTGCTTCACCGTGAGTACAACTATATCGCCAGCGTTTCTCAATATGTTGACAGCATCGTCGTGCGGACAGGCCGTAATATATTCTCCATTGACCTTGATAATGGCATCGCCCACAAAAAGCTGACCCGTAATATCCGCCGCTTGATCCTTATAGATACGCGATATCAATATGGGTAGCTTGTGTTCGGCTCCACCTTTTATGCTCAGTCCAAGGCCGCCTTGCTTTTGGCGCGTAATTTGAACCATACGCTCCTAATACAGAAATTTTTTAAATCTTTATGAATTCCTTAAACCACAAACACCAAATCTCACCTTCGATTCCATTGGCGGTCCATTGGGATGACAACTACTTGGGGTAACGACCTCCAACTTCTGCAGCGAAAGTAACTCCATTGTAAGATTAAGTCGCAGGGGTTCTGGTCTGCTCTTGCCATCGCTCACGTGGACCATACCAGTTCGCACCTGTGAAATACAAACAATCCAATCAAAATCTATAATATCATATGGAGTGTATCTTTGTCTTACCTTTAGGTTTTGATCGAGTTTCTCTTCTATTGGCGTGGCCATGGTGTCAGAGAGCTTCATAGTTCCTAAAATTGTTTAAGAAAGCGGGATCTTGAAAGTGATTTATGAACCAAAATAGAAACAGTGTCGGTGGGCTTAAGTTTAAAAAAAATATTAGGGCATGTCAAAATGAGTTATGAGTCATAATTTATAACCCCAAATAAAAAGCAAATGCAATACAAATCGAGAGACTTGCGAGATTAAAAATCAATCATTTAAATGCCAAACAAGTAGCTCAAATAAACTAAAAATAAATATTTCCGAAGTGTTAAATAAGTTGCCTTGATTGATTTCCATGAATTAATAATTCAGTGCGAAAGGTCCACAAAAGGTTGAAGGTTTGCCTGACTTGTGGCAATAACGGGACGTCGTCTACCCTCGTTAACCGATCCGCCAGCCGCCAATCAAGTTGGCCCAGAAAAACAGTCGGTTTCTGAGAACTTTCCGCATAATCGTGGCCATGGCAATGGACAACTGCGAAACAAGTGCAATCAAATCGAGAAGCCGGCTGCGTTGGCCTTTATCGATTGCCATTTTCCACGTAACAGACACCAGTAAAGCAAATCCAACGTAATTGCAATCATCGCATATTGAATTACGTTTACACACAGGGCCCCTGATGAGGCAGTCGATACACTCATAGAAATTTTTACCCTAAATCGCCCTAAAAAACTGACTTTTCGCCCGTGAATTTAGAAAATCGCCCATAAATCGTATCCGCTGGCGATTCGCCCGTGTATTTAGAAAAATTTTCTAAAAAATCCCGATGGAAATTTGGTTTAATTTAGGGTGATTTTTCTTGAATTAAGAAATATTTTCCTGTTTTTAGGGTGATTTGCCCTAATTTTAAGGTGTATTTTTCTAAAATTAAGGGCGAATTTTCTATTTTTAAAGGCAAATGCCCTTAAAAATTAGACAAATTAAAAAAAATCGTGTTTGAGCATGCTTAACTGAATTTGGGAAGCATGTATTTTAATCGTGTATATTCTGGGAACTGGGACTGCTTTAATTAAACAACACCGGCGGAGGACACCGTTTCATATTATTGTATTGGTGTGTAGCTTATATGGGAGCTGCGCTAAGAGGGGGGCCCGATCTATACAGAACAGCCGTTAGAACTGAAAAATCATGTTTGTAAACGAATTAGGGAAATAAATATGAGGAGAAAAAACAACTTACTTTTTTTGGTCATTGCGAGAATCGAACCCACGACCTCTCGGTTTTAGAGTCTAACGTTCTACCGCTGCACCACAGACCCATCGCGCAAGACGACGAACAAACTCTGCACACATCTTATTTTCTTGAGGTCTACGTTATAATTTGACAAAAGGCAACTAAACCGAATATTTTTTCCTGACGACTGTGACAATTAGTCCCGTTTTCTTGCCCGCAAACACAAAGTATGCTTTTAACTCAGATTTCCCATACGTTTTTAAGGTTTAAAGACTACTTTAATTAAAAATTCGGACGAAAAAATGTCCTTAGTGTTTAGTCCTTATAATGTTTTAAAAAAAAAAACATAAAAATCAAGTTGAATCACACAGGGTTCGAACCCACAACCCCACGACCTTAGTCCTCATATAGCAAAGTTGAAAGCGCAAGTGATTAGACCGCTGGGCTACCGAATTTCACACTTTTGGAGTGATTTTTAAGGCGAATCGCCCTTGTATTTAGAAAAATTTTAGAAAAAAAATTAGGGCAATTCGCCGTTGGATTTAGAAAAGGTCAAAACGAAGCAATTCGAAAAAAATCGCCCTAAATATTAGAAAAATAGAAAAATTAACCCTAAAAATATTTTTTTATGGTTACCAGCCTTGAGTTTATGGCAAATTTGCCATGAAAATAGAAAATTTTTCTCAGTTCAACGGCGAAAATTTTTTTAGGGCGATTTTCTAAAATGTAGAAAATTATTTTTATGAGTGTAGTTCAAGGTGAACCGTGCAATTGCCTTAATTAAATTACACATGCAATTAGAAACAATTAAGCGGAATCAGTCAGCGGCGAAATGTAATAGAAGGCATCTAGATCGAAAGGCGATCCATGGCAATACCTTTGCCAAGTGCGTGTTCCCCCGAACTCATGCGTCGGCATATGTTTTCCATTAAAGTGGAAAATAAATATGCTACCGGAAAACTAGAGATATGAGTGAAAACACATTGAAGTGTGCCCCATCTGCAGACGTTGTTTGTGGTTTTCCCGGTGCTGAGTGCCGAAGTGTGGCCGCAACTGTTTCTACGGGAAGGGGAACGAAGAATAAGTATTTCGGATAACCACTTGTGCTCCATAAATAGGTGTTTTGACTGGGGGGGTGGTGAGTTTTCGGAGGGGCTGCGATTTGGGCGCCAAATATGTGCATATGGTGCCAGCCGCAATGCCATCTGAGATTGAGATATTTGGAATTCGAGGGGCAGCACTTTCGCTTTATTTGATTTCTGCAAAGTCAATGGAAATGCGAAATTTTGAGGTATTCGCTAGGATCCTAACCATTATATTTGGAGTGGCTGGATAGGGTTACCCATTAAGATTGAAATTTTATGAAAATTAAATTTAAATATGACAAAAATAGTAATAAAGAAACTATCTTCCATAAAAAGTTTTATATTAAATAAAAAAAATATTTTTAATGACAGTATTTAATTTAACAAATCCTAAACTTTTATATGTTTTCTTTCTAAGATTTTCTTGGACCCAAAATCTTTTCTAAAATCTGTTTCTCAAAGTGCAAAAAAAGTCGAGTATTCGCTCAATCAATCCCCGAATCCTTGGCATTCCGCGTGTCATAGCGAGTAGCTAGTGGTCAGGCCACCGACCTGGGGCAAAAACACGCATACGCTCCGTTGTCCCGGGTTACCTTTGATTATGGCTTTATTATTACGTGTGCACGCTGCGCTGCCCTTTGGCGTGCGTGCTTCAGAACCGTAAAACCGTAAAGCTAGGCCCAGAAAAGTCGGCATTTCAAGGGGCTGCAGTGGAGTGAAGAAGTGGCGGCTCTGAGCTTCAAACCAAACAAGCCAACATGTTCGCCAGGAGGGCTTTGCAAATCAGCTGTGCCTCGAAAAAGAGCAGCAGCAGGCGAAACCTTTCGGCCTGTTTTGCCAGAAGTTTCAGCGATTGAACTTTTTTTGCAGCTCTGACCGAAAAGTAAAACAAACACACGCACACCCTCGCATAACCGATACTTTTTGCCCGAGGCCCAAAAATGTTGATTATTAATTTATGTGTGTTTGCTAAACAACAACTCCACCGCGCCCACAATATCCGCATGGGGATTACCTCCTTGTATTGACGGATGTACTTATGCTCGATTACATATATGTATGCTATATTTATACGAATGTGTGTGTATTTCATATGTAGCTGCGACCCGTTTTCGCCTTTTCAATTGGGTCACATTTTCAAAATCTTCGATTTCACTGGATTGAGATTGAGGGGCTTGAACTCACGATTTGGCCAAATCGTCACTCACAAAAGTATGCTAACTTTCCGTTCTGTTTGTCACACTTTTGGCCACTTCAGGCCAAATGTATATATATCAACTGGCTGGCTGTACTCCCAGCGTGTAGCTGGTCCTTTGGCGGTCCAGAGCACAACGTTCCCAGAGCCTGAGCGCGAGCGAACTGAGAGTTCCGTTATAAACACAGCGCCAGCGGACGGAGCACTATGAAGTATTCTCTCCACGCGCTCTCTCAGCAGCGCAGCTTTGTGCAGCCTGCTTGGCCATATGTTTGGGGTCGTAGAGTTGCCCCGATTGGGAGCTTTAGCCGGCTCTTCAACTGTCCAAGTTCCACCCCCACAGCTTGGGGGAACTTTCTTGCTAAAAAGCTTCATATATTACTAGAATTTCAATGTTCTAGGTGGCGCCTATCTTAATTGGGGACTGAAGTCTTGTAGTTCTCACAACAGACGTATACTTGATGGGTGGCGTTGGGATAATGTAAAACTTTTGTAAAATACCTCTAACATATTATACTATTTTAAATATTTTTGTAATTGGTCCATAATGGCTTCAAGACGTAAATTACTGTTTTTATCAAATGGAAGTTAAGTTTCTTACTTGTATGGCATATTGCGTAAATTTTTTAATTTCTCTCACTATTTTAGAACTATGAAACTGTACTTTAGGGGTATGTTCAAATTATTATTTACAAAATTTCTTTTTTAGCAAATTATTTTTATGTAAAATAATTATGGATTTCTTTTATTTTATTTATTTACATTGGTTCATTTTAAGGTCGTTTTTATACCCGTTACTCGTAGAGTAAAAGGGTATATTAGATTCGTGCAAAAGTATGTAACAGGTAGAAGGAAGCGTTTCCGACCCTATAAACTATATATATTCTTGATCGGGATCACTAGCCGAGTCGATCTAGCTATGTCCGTCTGTCCGTCTGTCTGTCCGTCTGTCTGTCTGTCTGTCTGTCTGTCTGTCTGTCTGTCTGTCTGTCTGTATGAACGCTGAGATCTCGGAAACTATAAAAGCTAGAAGATTGACATTTTGCATGCAGATTCTAGGAGTTCCTACGCAGCGCAAGTTTGTTTCAAAAGGGTGCCACGCCCCCTCTAACGCCCACAATCGCATATATACGATTTTAAAAATTTCAATATTTTGGAAAAGTAAAAATGCAGTTTTATTGTGTTTATCAATACCTATCGAAATGTAGAAGAAATTTTTTTAATCGGACCATTCGTTAAAAAGTTACGAAGGATCAAAGTTTTTCTCCATCTCTTTCGCACTCCCTTTAGCTGAGTAACGGGTATCTGATAGTCGGGGCACCCGACTATAGCGTTCTCTCTTGTTTAAGTTGTGGTAGACAGTATTATAAGTAGTAAGCCTATTTTGTTAACAAAGAAACCGTTTTTGAAGTTTGTAAGGACACAATAATAACAATAAAAAGAAAATTTATAAAAATATCGTGAAAAACCGAATAGTAATACATGCTCTCTCCAACATGCAATATTTATTAACCAGAAAGTATACGAATTAGAGCCCTGCATGAATGGATTCAATGAATTATTTTGAATTTTTTTCTGTTATATGAATGAATTAATTGGAATTTTGTGTTTAATAGAATTGAATGAATTTGAATTTTGACTTTAATAGAATTGAATGAATGAATGGCATGAATTCCGAAATAATTCAAACGACAATTTATTTTGAGGAAGAAAGGGCGATTATTTTGTGATTAAATCTGGCTGAATTTTATTTACTATGCAGTTAACATTGATTTGTTAAAAATTTTCCACTTTTTGTTCTCAAAAGAAAACACAAAAAAAAACTGAAAAAATCTAAAAATTCATAAAATAATTCATTCGATTCATTCAATTCGAAATGAATTAGAACAACATTCAATTTATTTCACATAGAATTGAATTAAACAAATCAGAAATTTCATGGCGTACTATGATAAAACAAAAATTGAATGATTCATGCAGGGCTCTAATACGAATCATTAGTTAGGCGTCAAATAAATAATTTTGCCAAAAAGGATCTCATAAAATCCAGAAATTAAATACAAAATTGAATAGTTCCCAAGAGCCTTACATTTAGCGCCGGAATCTGTTGCTTCGCCTGCAAATAATATGCCGTAAGGCGGTCATACACTCATAGAAATTTTTACCCAAAATCGCCCTAAAAAACTGACTTTTCGCCCGTGGATTTAGAAAATCGCCCATAAATCGTATCCGCTGGCGATTCGCCCGTGTATTTAGAAAAATTTTCTAAAAAATCCCTATGGAAATTTGGTTTAATTTAGGGTGATTTTTCTTGTATTGAGAAATATTTTCCTATTTTTAGGGTGATTTGCCCTAAGTTTAAGGCGTATTTTTCTAAAAGTAAGGGCGAACTTTCTGTTTTTAAAGGCAAATGCCCTAAAAAATTATGCAAATTAAAAAAAATCGTGTTTGAGCATGCTTAACTGAATTTGGAAAGCATGAATTTTAGTCGTGTATATTCTGGGAACTGGGACTGCTTTAATTAAACAACACCGACGGAGGAGACCGTTGCATATCATTGTATTGGTGTGTAGCTTATATGGGAGCTGCGTTAGGAGGGGGGCCCGATCTATACAGAACAGCCGTTAGAACTGAAAAATCATGTTTGTAAACGAATTAGGGAAATAAATATGAGGAGAAAAAACAACTTACTTTTGTTGGTCATGGCGAGAATCGAACCCACGACCTCTCGGTTTAGAGTCTAACGTCCTACCGCTGCACCACAGACCCATCGCGCAAGACAACGAACAAACTCTGCAGACATCTTATTTTCCTGAGGTCTACGTTATAATTTGACTAAAGGCAACTAAACCGAATATTTTTTTCCTGACGACTGTGACAATTAGTCCCGTTTTCTTGCCAGCAAACACAAAGTATGCTTTTAACTCAGAACTCCCATACGTTTTTAAGGTTTAAAGACTACTTTAATTTAAAATTCGGACGAAAAAATGTCCTTAGTATTATAATGTTTACAAAAAAAAAAAAAACATAAAAATCAAGTTGAATCACACAGGGTTCGAACCCACAACCCCACGACCTTAGTCCTCATATAGCAAAGTTGAAAGCGCAAGTGATTAGACCGCTGGGCTACCGAATTTCACACTTTTGGAGTGATTTTTAAGGCGAATCGCCCTTGTATTTAGACAAATTTTAGAAAAAAAATTAGGGCAATTCGCCGTTGGATTTAGAAAAGGTCAAAACGAAGCAAATCGAAAAAAATCGCCCTAAATATTAGAAAAATAGAAAAATTAACCCTAAAAATATTTTTTTATGGTCACCTGCCTTGAATTTATGGCAAATTTGTCGTGAAAATAGAAAATTTTTCTCAGTTCAAGGGCGAAAATTTTTTTAGGGCGATTTTCTAAAATGTAGAAAATTATTTTTATGAGTGTATCGAGCCCTATACCTGTGTAAGTTGGACGAAGTGCTCGTTAAATGTTAATTAGAACGCTGAATCAGCGGCGTTAGCTCATTAAAAGTTTGCGCTCCCATTTTTGTTGTGATTGTTAACCAGAATACATAGGGCCAGGCTAGCATTTGTGTATTTGTTTTTGGCCCCGACCCCTCGGCTGGCTCAATGATAAGCCCACGAATAAGTGGCATTCGAATACAATGGTGGGAGGCAAAGTTAATTAATGTATTAGCCAAGGTGAAGCCCCGTGGCTCACACTTTGGCAGCTCATCAGGAAACCTATTTAATTCTCCAAAGAAGCAGCTGGATTTGCATTCGTCCTTAATTCCATACCATTTATTAAGACAATGAAAATGTTGAGCCAAAGGTTTCTTCCTGTTTATCTCTAGGATATGTTTACATATATTTGATATATTACGTTGGATTTTGTGTAAATATATTATGCTAAAAGTTGAACACTTACAACGAAGGAATAATTAAAATTGGGATCATGCTTTTGAAAAGTATAAACATGTTTATCAGGTAAAAATTGTATTTGTATCATTAAGTTTATACCCATGTACCAGGCTATCCGGCTCGACGGACAAAATACCGTTTGGAATTTGAAAAAAATCAAGAAATGTGTTGACAATATTTGCATATTTGAATTATTAAAAAATAATCCTAATTCAAAATAAGCTGTTTAAAAAATCGTTTAAAAATGTAAAACTAAATCCTTTTGCAAATAACTATTTCTTGCCGAATTTCAGCTCAAACCCGCCAAAGAAGTTGATTGTGAATCTGATTTAATACCTGAAGGGTGGGGCTGGTGCATAGGATCATTCGCAGTAAGTAGTCGCAAAGGTAGTCTTAACTCTCGACCACCAAACCCCCGATTGTCACTGCCACTCAGCGCAATCAGTTGGGATTTAAGACATTGGCGGCGATGGCAACTACAATAAGAAAAGCAGTCTGGACAACAAGAACAACAGCAACGACAGAAGCCACAACAACGTCGTCGGCATTATTGACAAAAGTTTTCCGTTTGTTTTCGGCGCTTTTCCTCACTCTCCATCTCACTCGCTCTGCGGTTGCGGGAAAAGGGCAGCAAGCACATTTTTGTTAGCTGATTGAAATTAGTTGATGCATAAAAAAGTTTGTTTGCTAACAATTTCGTTCGAAAATATTTCGGTTCTAAAGTAAAATTATGACTGCTTTGCATATTTTTCGGTTACCAATGTAAAACTTTAGTCCCCGGCCCCAACTTATTGGCATTGGCGAATGTTGGGAATTTATGGCCTGTGCAAATGTTGGTCTACCATTCAAAATTTCGCCAAGAGTTTGCCCTTTTCCGTTTGGCAAATATCCGCCTGGATTCCTGTAATTGCATTAGACCCTAGACCCCGTCGCTTGTTGATTTTGGTCGGAGCGATTACGTTCTTAGACGTCTTAGGGATTTTTTTTTAAACTCAGGCGAAATCAACAAGCAAGATTGTGTAATTGAATAATTATGTTATTGTGTGGCTGAATGAACTTGCGAGATTTCCGTCTGACAGCTGCCACGACTGGGTAGGTTTAGCTTCGTATCTGAAGGATACTCGCACAAGATACAGATACAAGATGTGCGCGCTTGCCAGGCCCTCCAGCATACACATGCACACAATCTTCTCACCCGGCAGCAACACAAAAACTTAATTAAGCCTCATTCTGGTCTTAGCACCTC